GAGTACCGATGCTTTGCGGAAGGAAATGGCTGAAAGGATGATTGCTAAGTACAACAAGTATTGGGGTGATCATGAGAGCTTCAACATTCTGATCTTTGTGGCAGTTGCTCTTGATCCAAGGTACAAGTTGTCAGATTACACAAGGTTTGCTACTTCTGAGATGTTTGGTGAGGTCAAAGGAGAAGAAGTTTGGAAAATGATGAGTGAAACACTTGATGACTTGTTTAAGGAGTATGGCAAGATGTATGCTTCAAGTGAGAAGAAGGAAATGGAATCCGATTTGGTGCAAGGCATGAGCTTGATGAGGTCCCTAATTGCCAAGAGGATGAGAATGAACAACTCTGTGGTTGGTCCGACAAAGTCTGAACTTGAGAAATATCTTGCCGAGGAGACTGAAGCACACCCTGCCAAATTTGATATTCTCCAGTGGTGGAAGGTCAAATCTTCTAGATTCCCAGTATTATCCCGGCTAGCTCGTGATGTCTTGGCTGTCCCGATATCTGCAGTTTCCTCTGAGTTCGCCTTCAGCACTGGTGGACGTATCCTTGACGAGTTTAGGAGCTCTCTTACTCCATTCATTCTCCAAGCACTCATTTGTACTCAGGATTGGATGCTGGGATCAGCTCCTGTAAATGATGAAGAGGATACAGAGCAGTTGACCGAAGTAGTGGAAGGTACGAAAATATGTTCATTAGGTGCTTCCTTGGTTTTTCCTAGTTCCTGGCTGAATTTAACTGTTTTCTGGTTGCTTTACTTTATTCTCAGAATTACTTGAAGAAATGGTTGGCCTCAACGTAGCTCTAGTGATAATAATTCCATCCCCGATGATGCATGATTCCGCATCATATAAATCTGGGTGAGTACTACTTACTTCCCTTGATAAGTACATGAATGACTTGCTACATTATTTGCTAACCTACAGTTTGTACAGTTCGGAGCCTTGGGAAATCTTGCTGCCTCGCAGATATGGAGAGATGGAGTTGGAGTGATGGTGCAAAACTGCATATCTTGTTGCTGGTTGAAATGATTGTGTCGTCGTTTTATTTTGGTCCATGCCTCATGTTGGAACATCTATCTGTTTTATTTTGGTCAGTTGTGTGAACTTAAGTTATCTGTGTCGTATGAGACTGATGTGCTGCTGCTACTAAGAACTCTAGCTATTATCTATGATGTATGGCTGCTCATGGACTGATGCATTGTATGGTTATTATCTCTGTCAACTTCAGTGTTAAATATATTTGCGTGCATTGTGTGGCCTGATGACTGTTCATACACCCGCAAACTTCCCCTGGTTTGATACCACTATATGTGATTTCAAACATCAGGACATACCGGGATGGATTTGGTGCACGGCATTGAACGACCAAAAGTATCCAGACAGTGCTGTTCGGATATTTAGGGGTGTTTTGATGAACCGCAAAAGTATCTAGGCAGTGCTGTTCGGATATTTAGGGGTGTTTTGATGAACCACGTTAGAGTTGCCTTTAACCGTATGCGCCTGGCCGTCCAGCACCACCATCCTCATATCAGAATGGGGCGCTGTTGCTGCAGCATATGAATCACGTGCTGTTGGCTTTACACTTATATTTGTATTTGCACACCATGAACAGCACATCAGAGATTACATTAGCACATTTGCTGACACCAACAAATAAAACCATAATAGATAAAACTGCAACTCCCATTGCTGCTATTGCTGGTCGAAAGGCTTGCTATGCAGTGATAGATAGCACCAGGCAGGCAAGTGTAGTCCAACATTCGTCAGCCAAAATCAGATAAAAAATTCTACAGGCGCACACAATGGACATAAGCAAGAACATTAAGTCATATCGACCGACCTAATACAACATGGAACATGATCAAACGGAAACAGAGAGACAATGAACACACACGCAACGTAAGCCAAGATCATCGGGCAGGCAAGCTTGCTTGGAAACCATAAAGCAAATGTACCCCAAATGCTAATTAACCGAAGTAAGCTAGTGTGTATCTTCAACAAGCCAGTAGGCTAATTGCGCCTAGAATTTACATAACAGAGGAAGTTAGCAATGAACGATTAATCCTACAATTCCACTTCCCAGTTGACCATGCGTGCAACATAGGGGGTCGATATCTCCGTCTGAAGCATACAAAATGGACAGAACCCACAACACAGAAGCCAATTCCTGCATCTCAGAAACAAGAATACAAATCTAGGTACCTGTGGAGCAACCAACGTCATTAGGCAAACCATTTTGTACGACTAATACATGGAAAAGAGTACAAGTTATGCAACCTCACAAGTTTTTATGATTCAAACAGTAAAAAATAGCTTCACCATAAAGGAAATTCTACCAAAAACACCGAAGTTGAATCATCTCAGCGCTCTCGGAAAAAAACAGAAATATAAACAGAGATTATCAGTAGGTAAATTGTGGGGTGGTGGCACACTTTCAACTTCTACTGTCAGCACATTCTCGATCATTTTCGCCATCTTCTCTCAGTAGAGGCTAAGAGACCAATGGTTCAAATAACTCCTACAGAGGTAAATGCTGAACCGTCTAGCTTACCAAACAATTTGAAATATATTTTTAAAACTTTCTTCGGTACAGAATACATGCCATGTTTGAAAACTGCACGGCATAAAAAAACAACACTTTTTTAGGGGAAACTGTAGGGGAGGCCCTGACAGTACATTTTATTAAAATAGATAATTTACAAGAGAGAGAATATATACATCGCGAGAGAGATAGAAGGGCAGGGGGCACATAGAGAAGAATTTTTTTAGCAGGCTAATCACTAGACCAGAAAAGGACCAAAAAAACAACACTTTGACCACTCCCTCAATCATATTTGGTTACTTAATAGTAAAAATTGTGGTGGAACGTCAAGAGCAGCTGGCAACATCAACTGAAGCTGGCAAAATTGTGGCGGAATGTCAAGTGCAACTGGACTGACTAAAGGGGCATCTGGCCAATGCGCAGAACAAAACAAAAATGCAAGCTGACAAGCATCAAACAGAGAAAACCATTCAAGTGGGTGAGAAGGTATTGCTCAAACTGCAGCCTAATGCTTAATGTTCAGCGGTGAACAGGCCTTGTCTGAAGCTGGCATTCAAATACTCTGGACCGTACACTGTGTTGGATTGGAGCTAATTGGTTCAGAGGTACTCCCTCCGTCCGGAAATACTTGTCTTAGAAATGGTTGAAAATGGATGTATCTATAACTAAAATAAGTCTAGACACAACCATTTCTAAGACAAGTATTTCCGGACGGAGGGAGTATATCTCTTGGAACTGCAGCCTGGAAGTGCCGTCCATCCCGTGTTCCATGTCCCGAAATCACTGAGTTAGGTCTGGAGAATCCAGACCTGAAGCAATTCTTGATCGGCGGCTCGTCAAGAAAGGGAATTCCGCTATACCGCAAGGGTTTATCAACTGTTCTGGTATTCCTCAAGAACAGGCAACTTGGACGATCTCAATATACTGAAGCAGCACTACCGAGGGGAAATGTAACAACTGAAGGTGGTGAGACAGCCAGAACAGAGGAAAAGACGTAGAGAGCAAGGGCGCCACCGGTCGAGTTAGGTACGCGGATAATGATGGCGATTGGCGAAGCGTGTGTTAAGTTAAGCGGGACCCAACTGTAAGCGTCATGTGTGTCTGGCCTATAAGGATGGCAAGAATAATGATGTAAGCAAATAACGATGGCAAGCTATAACGGTAGAACCGGCAAGAAATGAATGAGCAGTGAAAAACCCCCCTTTTTCGATCTTAGCTTTGTCCCTACCCCAGTCCCTATGTATCTCTGGCAATATCAATCTCACGTCCTGGCTAGCCGGTGGCAATGTCAGCTAAGATGCTAGACGGAGAAGAGCCCACACTAACAAAAGCAATCTATTTGGTAACCAAGAACTGGTAGTAAAAAGGAACGCAATATTTTTTTATTTTGAAAGAACATTTTAGATACTTCAACTGGCATGCAGAAGATATTCTTACCTGCTCAACCAAAAATCATAATAGCATATCTACCCAGACAATCATCTTATGTACTGGACAAAAGTTCAGCTCCATCATGCCCACCACCAATGCTCGTCCCTACAAGCATAATATAAGAAGTCAAACACTCAAACAACCAATGACATTCCTATGGAAAGCCACATAGATACGAGAAGGCATCACTGAAGATATTTAGTTAAACTCGCATGTGTAATTTCAGAAAAAAACAACTAAGGGCCTCTTCGGTTCAGAGGAACCTTGAAGGATTCTACTCAAAAAATAAATCATGCAAGCTCGTACGAATGGCAAGTTAGAACACATAGGCCCTTTTCATATGGTCTACTTCACATGCAATTCCAAAGGAAAATTTCGATCGAGTCCAGCCTCTTTGAAACTTTTTTTGCTTCAGACTTCGGATGACAAATATGGAACCCACCTAGCCCTTCAAAAATGTTCCTGGGTTTTTTTTCCTATGGCACAACCAAACATCATGTTTTACACATTAATGTCCTTTCTATTTCTATATGATTTTTAGCAAGATCAGCAGAGATATCAATATTGAATTACACAAGTAAGCTTCCAAATGTACGTATTGAGCTAAGTATTTGATGTGTTAGTCGCTTCCTGTTAGTTTTCATGTACCACATAGTCTAATGATAATAAAAATTAAAGATGTCGGAATATTCAAAACAACACCACCCCCCTCCCTAAACTAGGTACCACTAACAATACTTTTCCAGTTTATAAGTCATAACCATTATATAAAACACCAACACACAAGCATCCGGGCAGAACACTACAGCACAACTTCATTATACGTTATAAAGGCAATGCTATTACCTGCAGAATAAACACTTTCGAATTGATGATGATAAAATGCGTTGGTAGTCTCGTAAAATTTCTTGAATTGCAGTGACTCAAGCTGCAGCATGATGACACCATCACCACCTGTAGTCAGCAAAACCACATTATTGTACTCGGCAAGCCCTTCTATCAGGGGTTGCACTCTCTCCTTCTCTGGATTCAGGGATAGTAGCTTGTCCAGTTCAATAGTTCTTCCCATCCCCATGAAGCAACACCGTGAGAATCAGTCTTTCTCTTCCATAATTGGGCGGTGAAGCCTAATATGGAGAGTAAACCCAGTCCACCACCCTCAGCCCGCATAACCGCGAACTGGAGGAGATCCACTTCAGACAGACATGGTGGTAGTCGGATCACATCTAGGATCTGCCTCTCCAAATCAAACTCGAGAATTGCGTCCGAACGCCCGCCAAGGCACCAGTAAAGGGAATTCCCAAGCATCAGAGCCGAGAAGCCCCGAAAATAGATGGCGAAAATACCCCTAGTAGTATATCCCTCGAATGGAATCAGTGGTGAGATGAGAGCACCCCAGACGCCTTTCTCCGACGAGTAAACGCGGGCGAGCAATCGCATGTGTTGCTTGTCTTGTCCGCCAACCCCTACCAAGATCACCTGGAAGTGGCGGGCCTCGCCGGCGGCGCGAAGCACCGCCCCGTGGATCGAGTTCGCGACCCCGACGAACCCTGGGGGAAAAGCGATGCGGTGCTGCTCGCCGGTGACGGGGTCCCACACCAGGACGTGATTCCGTGAGTTGGGGGAGATGAGCACGAGGCCGTGGCGGCAGCCGAGGACCCAGGAGTGGCAGCTCTCGTTGAGCTGCAGTGATAGGCGCTCGCCGGGGACGCGATGGGGGGGATCCATGGTGGGCGTGTACGAGACGCATCGGTCGCCCTCGACGAAGCAGCCGAGGAGGGGAGGGCTGTGGCGGTGGTGCTCGCGGAAGCGGCGGAAGAAGCGGACGTCGGAGACGAGGAGGCGCCAGCGCTTGCAGACGAGGGAGGCGCGGGGGAGGGTGGATGGCAGCGGAGGGAGGCGGAGGAGGATCTCGGCGAGTAGGTTTTCGTCCTCCAGCGGCGGCGCCGCCGGAGACATCTCGCTCTCCTCTCCTCAGAGCTCGTGCGGTGCGGGAGGACGCTGCGAGTTGGGGCGAGATCGAAAGCCCAATGGAGGAAGCCCACCATAAGTAAAGGTCACGGGCTGCCTCTTCTTCTCATCATCTCAAAAACAAAACAAAAACAAAAACTTCACGGGCTACCCAAAAAAAAAACGACACAGGGAATTAACAATTAATGTTAGAAAAAAACAGAGAGAATTTTCCTCTAGGGTTTCCCTCTAGTTTCGAAATCACTAATTGAGAAGTATTCTTTGTCACTCTCATCTTCCCAGGACGCGACTAGGAAAAGCCTTCCTTCCTTTGATTGAGCCGATGGATTCGCCTCCCCTCCAACTGTCGCTCCGGCGGCCAGCGGCCGGGAGGGGGGGGGGGGTATTCCTGGTGCCTCCGCTTAGATAGGTAGGGTTTTAGTTCTCACAAGGGTGGCGCTTACATGGATGGCGGTGCTTCTTCTTCGAGTCAGTCTTCCGAACTCCGATCCTAAGTTTCTTCGTCGGGACGGATTAGACATAGCTCCGGCGTATATTCCTGCCAGCCCCTCGGAGTGGCGAGGTTAGGGTTTCTTGTCATGCTCACGCAACTACAAGATTTGATGCCAGATTCTTCATATTGATTCAAGGGTTCAATGGCGACAACTGCGGCTGCCGGAAGCTGGTCCTTAGGGACATGTGCACAAAGAATTTCCGGCTGTCATTGACAAGGTCAATGTGGCTCCGGTATGGAGCGGCGACAGCGGTGCGTCGACGACTCGTTCTTGCCGTGGCAATGATCGTTTCGGTTGTTCATGGACCTCGATGTAATTTTTATTATATCTGAGGTGCTTTGTACTTTCGATGAATCTTTATAATATATCTGATGTTTTCACAAAAAAGAAGTTGCGACAAGTGGCGTATATGCAGTCTGCCACTTGTCACAACCCAAGAGTTTTGTATTTTTTAGATCCGTTTATTCAAAACTTTTTATCTCTAAACCATGTGGCCTAATCCCGAACCGGTTTCACCATTGGATTACTCGGGTCAAGATCTTCAAAACTAGATCCCATGTTGATCCGTTTATTCAAAACGTTTTATCTCTTGAACCACGCGTCAAAATCTTAAACCGGTTTCACCCTTGGATTCCTCTCGTCGAGATCTTTAAAATTAGATCCCATATTGATAGGTTTTGACGATCTTTTTTCACGAAAAAACCGCACACAAATCCAAGCATAAAAACCGAAACCGATAGCAATTTTTTTCGTTTCCGAAGAGGCATGACCGTGCCTCTCACAAAAGCATATCCGTGCCTCTCGTAGAAGAGAAAAATCATATTTTTTTTCCTGTTTCCGAGAGGCACAGACGTGTCTCTTGCGGAAGCAAATCCGTGCCTCTCACGAAAGAGGGAAAACATGTTTTCTTCATTTCCGAGAGGCACGACCGTGCCTCTCGTGAAAGCAAAATCATGCCTCCCACGAAAGAAAAAAACACTTTTTTCATTTCTGAGAGGCATGGTCACGGAAGCAAAACCGTGCCTCTCGTGGAAGGAAAAAACGCATTTTTTTCATTTTTCGAGAGGCAAGGGAGGCACGCCTCCCACGGAAGCAAAACCGTGCCTCTCGTGGAAGAAAAAAACGCATTTTTTTTCATTTTTCGAGAGGCAAGGGAGGCACGCCTCTCACGGAAGCAAAACCGTGCCTCTCGTGAAGCAAATTCATACCTCTCACCGAAGGAAAAAAAAGAACACGTTTTTTCGCGCATTTTTTTCAAAATACAATTTTTTTTCAAAAGTTAAGAAAGACCATGGAAAGCCGAAAAAAAATATGTAAAAAGCCAAAAACGCGTGCGAAAAATAAATTTGGAGGGCGCGTCCAGAGTGCGACCCTTGGGGAGGCTCGGAACGAGCACTCCTTAATTAGCTGCTCTCAGCCCGAGTCAAAATAAACCTGAGATCTGCATGTCAGGATTATCACTTATGAGAAGATCTGTATTTCAAGCGCCAGTCTACCACAATGGTGATCTTGTACAATGGTAATTATTATACACTTGTTATTTAGCAAGTGCCATTGTTAGTAGTTTCTCCAGCCAAGTGTCATCTCTGAAGAGGATCCATGGACTTGCTTCAGTGAAATGCTAATCTAAGGTTGGCACCTGACTTCTCGGTAACAGAATCTTCATATAGCTTTCCAATTCTTGGTAACCGAATCTTGGAATGCAATATTCCAATAATCATTACTGAGTAGGAAGACTGCTGCATTTCCTTCCTTTTGTTCTAGCTTATCTAGACAGCATTTCTTCAGTCTGCACGATACCAGAATTCAGTGGAACCTGGTAAATCAAACTTATATGTGTATTAAATCTGCTCTGATCATTAGGGGAGCATGACTTATTATTTCCAGCCTGACAAAATGTTTTTCTTTGCAGTGAGCAGCCACCTTATGATGTTTACTGTTTATTGCAGCAACAAGATGCACATAAACACTGTCAAATATGTAAGCAAGGATCGTCACACAGGCAAGATTGCTTCGAAAGCATATAGCAAATGAACCACACAGCAAGTACTACTTAAACAAAGCAAATCAATGTATCTTCATCATGCCTGTTGGCTAATTGTGGCCAGAAATTAGGTAACAGAGGGAAGGGCAAGTTGACCAAGTTAAAGATTAACTCATACAGGTCCACTTGTGCAAGCTACAAAGATGGCCGATCTCCATGAGAAATTGTCAAAATGAAAGAACCTTCAGCAAAGAAGTCCATTCCTGCTTCTCAGCAACCGGAACACAATTCTAGATACCTGTAGAGCAATTGATGTTATTAGTCAAACCGATTTGTACTGTCCATTCATGGAAAATATGAAGTTGCATAATCTGTTCTTTGTGATCTAGAAAGCAATTATCAGCTTCATCATTGTGAAGATTGTACTACTAAAAAAGAGGAATCATCTAAGCATTATTGGAAAAAGATAACAATATAAACAAATAAGAGTGATAAGAAGAGTGGAAGACAGTTAATTCCTAAAGCCACATCTTCCGCTTCTACAGTTACCACATCCTCAGGTTTGTTGCCACATCTGATCTCAGAGAATAATTGATCGTGGCCATTCAGATTTAAACAAATATATTGCATGACTATTGTTGGAAAAAATGGACTTACCACTTGCAGGACTATCCTAAAAGTTAACAGAATAAACATTCTTATAAATTTTAAACCAACTCGCTATTATGGGTTTAAGATTATTAGCAAGATAGGTAGACGTAGCAATACTGAATAGAACAATAACTTTCTTTAAGCTTCTAAATGTGCATACATAGGAGATATCTATTTGATATTTTGGTTGCTTCAAGCTAGTTTTTCAAGTAGTTGTCTCCGATTGTTATATATCTCATCTTGTAGAAAAGAACTTAACTGCCACCCTAAACTGATGAGAAACTTTCCCAACTTTGACTTTAACCACAGTGTCAAATGGTGATTTTAATAAAAATATGAGAATATTAAAAACAACTTGGCATCATATTTATCAACAATACAACAGAATGGTGCCAGCACATCACCTCATTGGTTGAGAAAAACTGCAATGCATCTACATGCTCTAGCACTACCATTATACAGTTCTTGCATATGTCAACAAGTAGACAACAACGAAATTTAGTTCAGTTATAATATAAAGAATTTTTCAACTTGGCCACAGAAACAGAACTGGTGGCATGAGCTAAACTAGATATCAGAAACCAATATCTTTCTCAATCATTAGAATTACATAAACACCACCACACAACCATTGGGACATAACAAAAATGCTATGTGTTGAAGAGATCATATCAAGCAGCAAAATAATAATTGATATGACACTACTTAAAATTGTTAGCTTAACATGAAAGGATGTGAAAGGCATTCCATTAACCCATCATCAAAAAGTAACCTGGTTTTGTTATACTGGCAGTGCAAAGGCATGCTATTACCTGCAGCATAGACACTTTCAAATGGATAATAACAAAGCCATTTGTAGGTGTCGAAAACTTTCTTGAACCGCAATGACTCAATCTGGACAGTGAAGACGATGCTCATACCGACCCGCAGGAACACCAAATTATTATCCTCAGCAAACCCATATATGGTTACATGCTCCTCTGGATCCAGGGAAAGTAGCTTGTCCAATTCAACAGTTCTTACTATCCCCCATGATCGAACACCATTACAGATGGTGTTCCTCTTCCATAACCGGGCAGTGAGGCCTGACACGGAGAAAAAACCCAGCTCACCATCCTCAGCCCGCATGAGTGTGAAGCCTTGAACATCAAACATATTTGCTGGCAACGGTATCACGGCCAGGCTCTCCCTCTCCAAATCAAACTCAAGGATATTTGGCAAATTACCATAAAGTATCCAGTAAAGGGAATGCCCAGCCAGCACAGCCAGATCCCCAGAAGCCCTGGTGGGAAATTCGTTCCCGGAGGGAATCGATGTTAAGATGGGATTACCCCACGCCACGGTCTTGGACGAGTAAACGCAGGCCAGCGCTCGTCCATGTTGCATCTCATCGTGGTCTGCCACTACCAAGACGATCTGGAAGTGGACGTCCCCGGGAGCAGCGCGGAGCACCGCCCCGCGGACCAACTTGAGCCGATCGAATCCCGTGGGAATGGATACGTTGTGCTGGTGGCCGGTGACGGGGGCCCATACCAGCAACTGGAGCCTCGTTGGGTCGAGGATTAATACAAGGCCATGGCGGCACCCGAGGACCCGGAACTGGAAGTGGACAAGGTCGGACTGCAAGGAAAAACGCCCGGGCGGAACACGATCTGGGGCCTCCAGAGTAGGCTCGAAGGACGGGCCGTCGGCACCTGCGCGGAAGCAGCCGAGGAGTGGAGGGTTGCGGCGGTGGTGGAGGCGGAAGCGGCGGGAGAAGGCTGGGTCGGAAATGAGGCTGCGCCAGCGCCTGCAGACGGCGGAGGCGCGCGGGAGGGAGGACGGGAGCGGCGGCAGGCGGAGGAGGATCTCGGAGAGCAGGTTGTCGTCCTCCAGCGCCGCCGCCGCCGGCTCGCCCTCCTCACAGCTTATGCGGCAGCCCATGGCGTGAAATGCGGGTGACCTAAAGTGACACTGGACCCGCTGCCAGTGCGAGAGGGATGGAAATTGATTAAGCCCACGAACACACCATGTCTCCGCTGTGGACATCAACGAGGCCCACAAGCCCATAAAAAGCACACACGCATTTGACCTCTGTAATGGACCTGATCTAGATCCGAGGAGTTTGGTAGGGGAGGAGAAGGGAAGAGGAGGCCGGTGGAGAAGAGCAGCTTCTCTAGTTAAGTGTTGATACAATAATTCTCGATGATCCACTCACACGCACCGGGTCCTAGTAATACCCGCGGCACGTAGGCCTCACGCACGCGACGCACCCTGACTATGCGGACCCACTGGTCATCCCTCTTCAGAGCGCCTTGACCCCATCAACCCTGGATTGGCCGTGACGCCGTTGCCCTTGCTGTCCAGTGGGGCCGCTGTGATAGGTGGGGCAGCTGTGGCAGCCGTGACATCCCCCCCCACCCCGCTTGTGTACCGACTTGACCCCAAGGCAGTGTAGAGGGAAACCGTTGCTGCAGCACCACCGGGTCTTCCCATGTTGACAGCGACGCATGGAGATGACTCCATTGCACACGGATGCGAGGGCGAGTATCGCAAGCCACCCGCACCAGCTTGCGGTCGAGCACCAGCTCCGGAACATGCTCCGCCTGCAAAATTGAGTTATCTGGAGGTAGGTCAGCACTTGCTGGTACGGTAGCTCCAAAGGCTTTCTTCAGTTGGGAGACGTGAACAACAGGATGGATGCGGCTGGAAGCAGGCAACTGCAGTTTTTATGCCACTGCCCCGACGCGAGCCAGCACTCTGTATGGTCCATAGTAGCGAAAGGCGAGCTTCTGATGCGGTCGTTGCGCCACGGAGGATTGTATGAATGGCTGCAACTTGAGCAGCACTGCGTCCCCAACCGCAAACTCTCTGTTCGTGCGGCGCCGGTCGGCCTGGACTTTCATGCGGTCCTGGGCACGCTTGAGTTGTTGTTGTAAGTGTTCGATCATGACTTCTCTCTCCTGGAGCCATGCTGCAAGATCAGGAACTAAGCATTCGTCAATCTGTGCGACACCAAACTCTCTGGAAGGTGGCCGTAGATGACCTCAAATGGTGTTTTGCCCAGCGGCGAGTGGAAAAATGTATTATACGAGTATTCAACAAGAGATAGCCATTTGGACCATTTGCCAGGGCAGGAGTGGACTGCGCACCTTAGGTATCCTTCCAGACACTGATTGACGCGTTCGGTTTGCCCGTCGGTCTGGAAGTGGTATGAAGAGCTGAGGCGCAGGTCCGTCCGGCAGAGCTTGAATAGTTCCTGCCACACATGCCCTGTAAATATACGGTCCTGGTTTGAGATTATGGCCAGTGGCAAGCTGTGGAGCCGAAAGATCTCTTTCATGAAGACCTTGGCGTGGAGAGCCATGAATGGGTGAGTCAGAGGCACGAAATGTGCGTATTTGGAGAACTTATCCACCGCCACCAGAACAGTGTCGTACCCTCCTGACCGGGGCTACCCTTCAATGAAATCAAGCAAGATAACTGACCAGGGTTCTTGTGGTATTGGCAATGGTTGGAGAAGTCCAGCTGGGGAGATGCGCTCTGTTTTTGCTTGCTAGCAGACCAACAGTTGCGCACCAAGGCCTTGACATGCAGCTTCATCCCTTTCCATGCGAACAGTCGCTTGACTCGGTTGTAGGTGGCATGGAAGCCCGAATGCCCGCCCGCGGCACTGTCATGGAGAGCTCGTATCAAGTGTTGTTGGGTGTCAGTATCTTCTCCAATCCACACTCTCCCTCGGCAGTGCAGAATGTCATCCTGGGAGGTGTAGTCAGGCTCGCTGTCCGGCACCAGTGCTAGCTTTGTCATGCGTTGCTGTGCCAGTGGATCTGTCTGATAGCTGCGCTTAATAGCTTCCAGCCAGGTAGGTTTACAGATGGAGATAACGGCCATTTCTGCCTCTGGTTTGTGTTCGCGTCGTGACAGCACATCAGCCGCTCGATTTGTCACTCCCGTTTTGTACTGAATGGTGTATTGAAGGCCAATCAGCTTCGTAAACGCCCTTTGCTGAATTGGGGTGTTGAGCCATTGGTCCATCAGGTTCAGCAGGCTGTTTTGATCGGTGCGGACCATGAACTCTGAATGCTGTAGATAGGGCCACCAGTGGTCGATGGCCAGAAGCAGAACCAAGCACTCTTTCTTGTATGCCGATAGGCCTAAATTTCGTGGAGCCAACGCTTTGCTGAGGTACGCAACCGGATGCCATCCTTCCATCGGGACTGCGCCAATTCCCATGGCACTCGCGTCCATTTCGATGACGAATTGCTTTCGGAAGACTAGCAATGCGAGCACTGGGGCCTACACCAGAGCTTGTTTCAGTGCAAAGAATGCAGGTTTAGCTTGAAGGAAATATGCCCTAGCGGCAATAATAAAGTTGTTATTTATATTTCCTTATATCATGATAAATGTTTATTATTCATGCTAGAATTGTATTAAATGGAAACTTAGTACATGTGTGAATACATAGACAAAACAGAGTGTCCCTAGTATGCCTCTATTTGACTAGCTCGTTAATCAAAGATGGTTATGTTTCCTAACCATGGACATGTGTTGTCATTTGATAAACGAGATCACATCATTAGGAGAATGATTTGATGGACAAGACTCATCCATTAGCTTAGCATTATGATTGTTATAGTTTCATTGCTACTGCTTTCTTCATGACTTATACATGTTCCTCAGACTATGAGATTATGCAACTCCCGAAAACCGAAATAACACCTTGTGTGCTATCAAACGTCACAACGTAACTGGGTGATTATGAATATGCTCTACAGGTGTCTCCAAAGGTGTTTGTTGGGTTGGCATAGATCAAGATTAGGATTTTTCACTCCGTGTATCGGAGAGCACTAGTAGAAAAAGGGCCATTTTTCCCGGTTCGTGAGGGTCATTTGTCCCGGTTCCCGAACCGGGACTAAAGGGTCATAACTAAAGCCCTATACCTTTAGTCCCGGTTCGATCGGGAACCGGGACAGATGGGGCTCCACGTGGCCGCTGCGGCTTGCCTAGGCAGGGGGACCTTTTGTCCCGGTTGGTGTCACCAACCGGGACCAAAAGGCTTCCGCACGTCAGCAGTTTAGGGGCTGGGTTTTTTGTTTTTTCTGAAGGGGGGGGGGGGTGTAACACCCTCGATGCGACTATATCTCCCACGTGTCGAGGCACGACTTAGAGGCATAATCGCATTGAAGGCATATGTCGCAAGTGAGGTAATCTTCACACAACCCATGTAATATAATAAGGAAAGAGATACATAGTTGGCTTACACTCGCCACTTCACACAATTACATGAATGAAACATTACATCATACCATTACACTCAAGGTCCGACTACGGAACCAAAATAAAAGAAGAACCCCAAATGCGACAAAGGCCCCCCGATCGACCCCAACTGGGCTCCATACTGATCAACTAGAACGAAACATCACAAATGAACAAGGTCTCCAACGAGCTCCTCCTGAGCTGGGTTGCGTCATCTGCACGAACTCATCGGCACCTGCAAGCTGGTTTTTGAAGTATCTGTGAGCCACGGGGACTCAGCAATCTCGCACCCTCGCGATCAAGACTATTTAAGCTTATGGGTAAGGTAAAGGTTTGAGGTGGAGCTGCAGCAAGCGACTAGCATATATGGTGGCTAACATCCGCAAATGAGAGCGAGAAGAGAAGGCAAAGCACGGTCGGTAAAAGTATGATCAAGAAGTGATCCTGGACTACCTACGTCAAGCATAACTCCAACAACCGTGTTCACTTCCCGGACCCCACCGGAAAGAGACCATCACGGTTACACACGCGGTTGATTCATTTTAATTAAGGTCAAGTTCAGGTTTTCTACAACCGGACGTTAACAAATTCCCATCTGCCCATAACCGCGGGCACGGCTTTCGAAAGATCAATCCCTGCAGGGTGTCCCAACTTAGCCCATGACAAGCTCTCACGGTCAACGAAGGAATAGACCTCCACCCGAGACATCCCGATCAGACTCGGTATCCCAGTACAACAAGACATTTCGACAGGGTAAAACTAAACCAGCAACACCGCCCGATGCGCCGACATCCTGATGGGAGCTGCACATATCTCGTTCTCAGGGCAACACCGGATTGTCTAAACTTCCGGTAGGCCAGCCCAGAGTTGCCCCTGGTAGCCACCGGCGGCTGACGGTTTGGACCAACGCTTAGACAAGCACTGGCCCGGGGGGGGGGGGGGGGTTAAAATAAAGATGACCCTCGGGATGCGCGACTCCCAAGGGAAAAAAGGCTAGGTGGCAAATGGTAAAACCAATGTTGGGCATTGCTGGCAAAGCTTTACTTAAGGCGAATTGTCAAGGGGTTCCCATTATAGCCCAACCGCGTAAGGGACGCAAAATCCGGGAACATAACACCGATATGACGGAAACTAGGGCGGCAAGAGTGGAACAAAACACCAGGCATAAGGCCGAGCCTTCCACCCTTTACCAAGTATATAGATGCATTAATTAAATACGATATATAGTGATATCCCAACAAGAAAACAATGTTCCAACAAGGAACGATCTCCATGTTCCAACAAGGAACAAAACTTCAATCTTCACCTGCAACTAACAACACTATAAGAGGGGCTGAGCAAAGCGGTAACATAGCCAATCAACGGTTTGCTAGGACAATGGTGGGTTAGAGGCTGAACATGGCAATTGGGAGGCTGACAAGCAAGTGGTAGGCATCGTAGCAAGGGCATAGCAAAAGAGCGAGCAAACTAGCATAGCAAAGATAGTAGTGATTTCGAGGGTATGATCATCTTGCTTGAAATCCCGCAAGGAAGAAGAACGAATCCATGAAGAAGACAAACAGGAGTAGACGAACGGATCCTCACAACACGACGTTATCGGAACCAACCCGAAGAAGCAATCACCGGAAAAGAAGCACACAACATAGTAAACAACCAACACGTCAACATGGCATGATGCACAAACGAGTATGATGCATGTACGGTTTAATGAAGCATGGCATGGCATGGCAAAGTGCACAAACAACACTACAAGTTAAGTGGAGCTCAATATGCAACGAGGTGCATATTGACGGAACACCACGTCAATTATT